GTACAAAACACTCTTTTTCTCTCTCTCACACACACACATATACATACATATACACACATACATGTATACATACGTATATACATATACACACACATATATACACACATATTTAGATTTATATATTTTTAAAAATGCTGCAAAACTATATATATACACAGCACAAGAGACACTCTCACACATATATACATACACACACACACACATACATATATATACACACACACACATATATACACAAACATATTTAGATTTATATATTTTTAAAAATGCTGCAAAACTATAATATATATATACACACACAGAAGCACAAGAGACACTCTCTCTTTCACACACACATATATACACACACACACACACATATATATACATATATACACACACATATTTAGATTTATATATTTTTAAAAATGCTGTAAAACTATAATATATATATATATATACACACAGAAGCACAAGAGACTCTCTCACACACACACATATATACACACACACACACACACATATATATACATATATACACACACATATTTAGATTTATATATTTTTAAAAATGCTGTAAAACTATAATATATATATATACACACAGAAGCACAAGAGACACTCTCTCTCTCACACACACACACATATATACATACATATATATACACACACATATATACACACACATATTTAGATTTATATATTTTTTAAAAATGCTGCAAAACTATTATATATATATACACACAGAAGCACAAAAGACACTCTCTCACACACACACACACACATATATACATACACACATACACACACACACATATATATATATATATACACACACATATTTACATTTATATATTTTTAAAAATGCTGTAAAACTATAAAATAGATATATAGACACACACACAAGCACAAAACACAGATACACTCTCTCACACACACACACACACACAAAAACACAAAAGCACACCAACTCAAACGGAGGAGAGACGCGCGCGCTCCACTCACCCGCCACCGGCGCCGCCATCTTAGCCGGCCTGATTCCCAGCCGCGGGGAAGGGTGGGCGGGGCGAGCGGCGGGCCAACGGCGAGNCGGCGGGGCGGGCCCTTTCCGGCGCGTTGCCGTGGCGCCGGCGCGCTCGGCGCGTGCGCAGAGGCCGGCGGGGCGGGGGCGCGCTCCCGCCCGCCCCTGCGGGCCCCTTTAAAGGCAGCGGCGGCTGCCGGGACGGGCGTCCCCGTCGCCGCCTCAGGAGCGCCGCCATCATGTACCGCCGCCTGGGAGAGCTGCTGGCGCCCGCCCGCGCCGCCGCGGCCTCGGCCTGCCCTGCCGCCGCCGCGGTGGAGCCCTGCGCGGCCTCGGCCTCGCTGCTGGTGCCTCCCGGGGAGTCCCGGCGTCGCTACAGCCAGGCGGTGGTCCGCGAGGAGGCCTCCGAGGACGACCCGAACTTCTTCCGCATGGTGGAGGGCTTCTTCGACCGCGGCGCCGGCATCGTGGAGGACCAGCTGGTGTCCGGGCTGCGCACCCGCGAGAGCGCCGAGGAGAAGCGGCACCGCGTCCGCGGCATCCTGCGCATCATCAAGCCCTGCAACCACGTGCTCAGCGTCTCCTTCCCCATCAAGCGCGACAACGGCGAGTGGGAGGTGGTGGAGGGCTACCGCGCCCAGCACAGCCAGCACCGCACGCCCTGCAAGGGAGGTGAGAGGCGCCGCCGCCGCCGCCTTCACACGTGCGCCCTCGCCGCCGCCGCCGACACGCGTCTGGGGAGGCCACGCCCCCTCCCCGCGCAACGTCCCTTGGCCCGCTTGCCTCCCCAGGGGCTGCCTCCAATTGCACGGCCTCCCAGACGCGTGTCTTGGCGTTGGCGCTGCTCCTCTGAATTCAAACACGGGGACGGGTTTTCAGACGTGCCGAGGAATTTCCACCATTCCCCCCCTCTCTCTTTCTCTCTCTGGGGTGCTGCTTCTTCGGCTCTTCGTGATCGTTTTGTGTTGCACGCCAGAAAAGGTTGCATAGCACAATGCACAAGCGGGGGTTGTGTGGTTTTTTTTGTGTGTGTGTGTGTCGTGGTTTTGCTCGGGGGGGTTCAATGGACTGCATTGATCCCGCCTAACAACTGCACGAGTCTCTTGCAGAGCGGTTTTTTGCTAAGGTTGCCAACAGCCCTGAAAATGCAAATATATTGTCCAAATATAATATAGGATATAAATAATAAAGCGTTCTCCATTGTTATTTTGCTGCAGTGTGTGTGTTTGTGTGTGTGAAAGGCCTGCCGGAAGTGACTTCTCCCTTTAGGAATCTGCCCTCCCCTTGATGAATCTTTAAGGTGAAACTGGCTATTTTTATTTTAATGCAAAGATGGTATTCTTTTTCTTTACCTTCCCACTCTGACCATCTATCTCCCTTTTCCAGGCTTGCCCAGATGTGTGGATGGTGTGATTACGTTGCACCAGTGTTAACTGCTGATTACAAATGGGAAAAAAAAAAATCTCTTCCCAAAGTTGGCCCTGCCGAAATAATTAACAAGCCCCGTATACGTGGCAAGACTCCTTGCAACCTTTGCTTAGCGTGGCCTCCTAATAAACTTTTTTTTATTCTCTTGCAGAATAGTGCAGGGATTATGTTACTTACTACGTGCATTTTTCAGTTATGAGAAAATTGGTAGGAGTCTGTGGGAGACCGTGGGAGTAATTCGTGTCCTATCTGCATTTACGACTTTGCTGGCTTACTTATATAAAGAAAAACTTTTCAAGTTTGTTTTTGTGGTTTTTCAAGAAGGAAGTGCCAATTTGCTTCGCAGAGACCGGTCTTCCTTTTCCTGGTTCTTGCACAGATGCATTTCCTAGGATCCCTGCTTGCAGTATCCTGGTTAACCTTTTTAAAGACTTAAGCGAAAAACAGGAGATCATGAGCCTTAAGTATATATGGAAGTCGCTGTAAGAATGAACCAGGCAATTGAAGAACCTTATAGCAATTTCCCCTTACTTGCTTCATGCCAGGATATATCCTGGGGCAAGAGGGGAAATTAAAGCCTTAATACTTGAAACAGAATGGCTTCTTTGGTAATTTGGCTGTTTATTGTGTGACTACACAGTAAACAAAAAGGCCGACACAGTAGCAACAAGATTGCCTTTGATGCTATGTGGATCCCCCGGCATTCTAGTACTGCTTTTTGTTTTGAAGCGCCCCACCCTTAAAGGAGGCAAAAGTAAGCTGAATGTTGGGGCAGCATTCACCCCTGCAGGCTACAGAAAACATCTCTGGATACTGTGTAAGATTCATCCTATCCATGTTTGTTAGACCTGCATCCCAGGTTTTCTGTAAGAGCTCAAAGGTGTATCTTATCTTCCTCCACTTCTTCTCCGAAACAGCTCTGTAAGTTTGCAGCGAGAAAGAGTGAAGGGGCACAGTCACACCCTGGGTTTGTGTGGCCGAGAGTTTGTCCCGGATCCTAATCTGGTATCTGGAGCGCTAGATTTGCTGGGAACGTTGCAGTTAAAATGAATTGGAAAGTTCATTTACCTTTTTTTGTGTAGTCATTGACTTGTTCATGTAGTGTATCCGGCAGTTGGTGATTGGTTAAGCACAATGGCCAGAATGATGGTTGGTTAAGCACAAGAATGGTAAGACTTACAAAACATCATTTCCAGAGTGTTACCTGATTCTTTAGATAAGAAAACCTGCACCAAAGGTTAGAAAGGTGCATTTTTATATAATGGAGACATACTTGTCTTCTGGAGCAGATAGGTTCCTCCCCTTTCTTCCCTGCTTTTAGTCCCCTGTATGATAAACAAGCTTTCTGCAAGTTCTGACAATTTCCTGACAGTCCGTAGTCCATTCTTGCTTGAGTTGCATGAGAAAAATAAAAGTTTTTTGTGGAGTTTGCGGGAACCTACCATTCCATAGGTTTGAAACAGGCTAGGTTGCCCAAAGTCCAGTTAATGGCTGGAAATTGTCTTTTGGATGCTATGTTTTTGTTCAGTGGCTTGATCTTTAGAGAACAACTCAAGGGTTTTATCTCAGCATGCCGAAATATATATTTTATTTGATCATGAATTTTACAAAAGAAATGCTGAAAACTCTTTGTTGGAGGTTTCAGAGGTGAAGTTTATCTGGCTGAGAAATGGAGTCTGTCTTGGAACTCTTCAAATATGGGTGGTCCCACTTCAGCCTGTCCAGATTAGTTTCGATACAAGGTTTAAAAATTCCATTGTGGCTACTGAAGGATGCTGAATAAAATAATTGCTTTGATGCGGACATTTTGTTCTTTTATGTCTACATAGAGTGAAGATAACTTCAGAATCACCCAAGACAAAGGCAATATTTCCTTGTAGTTTCTTCCCTCCAGATTGGTTTCTGTGTGTGCTCTGTGGTAACAATAATCTTGAAATAACTACTGCCACGTAATACAACTTCTCCAAAGTTGCTGACAAAGTTCTGTGTCCCAGTGTCATTCTCTAAGAACCATAATATTTTTTCCCCAACCTATGTAGGAAACCAAAATCCATTTAATATTGACCTCCAAATCCTTCTAACAAACAGAAAAGTCTTGCTTGAAGGAGCTCCAGTAAGTTGGATTGGCTTCTTTGAGAGGTCCCCAGTGCTGGTAAACAGCAGCAGCAGCAGCTTCCAAGAACCCTGCAGATATTCTCCATTTTATTGTGGTGAACTGCATTACTCTCCCATAACACTCTCAAGGCTGCCAAAGCAGCTTCAGAGTGTTTGAATTATTTGCTTGTGGATGTTTTCTACGAAGAGGGGAACGTTGGGGAAGATAGTAGATTCATAGCATGGATGACATGCCTGTGGACCCTGCCAATAACAAAGCTGCTGCATTTGCGCTAGGTGGAGATGTTTGGAAGACCCAAGTAATCCAGGAGAAAAATAGACCCACTGTCAAGTGGCAGGGAAATCAAAAGATCCAGGCAATTCAAATGGGGATAAAGATTTATTGCAAGCTTAAGCCTCTATACAAGTATCTGAACTACCAACTGTCAAAACAAATAGGCGGTAGATAAGAGTCAAAGGAATTCAAGGTAGGCTGGGCTTAGATCTCTTGTGGGCGTGAAGGGACTCTGAGACTGATGACGCATTTGACCCCTCCTTCAGGCTCAGCCTGGTCATCTCCTACACCCACTTGCTTTTTGTGGATTTGCTCCAATTTCCTTTTCCTTTCCTTAACACCCTCCCTTTTTTCTGTATTTAATTTGTTAACTGCTTTATGTTTGCCTTTTTAATAAGGCATGTTGATAATTGCAAATTAGGATAAGGTAGTCTTCCTTCTCTGTAACGCTAAAACTTCACACCAACTTACACATTGTCGCTTTTTTACATACTGTGTAAGTAACAGAAGAAACACTAACAGTTTCTGGCATAGTCCAAGAGTTTTAAGATAGTGAGACCCGTCTAGTATGTCTAATATGACAATCTCTCACGCTTTGGGTTTTGGCACAATTTTGGGGGGTATTGCTGAATTATTCCTTGGCAGGTAAAATATAAAAGAAAAATTATTGTATCTTAAAGATTGATCACCTGTAATAAAGTTTAAAGCCTGAATCTACGGCGGTCCTTTTAAATAATTCCATTGGGGTATTGAACTCATTTGAATTGCTGGTACACACACACACATCATCCCTGTCTTTAGAAGCGGTACATATTGTGGTGTTGAAAAACCTTGAACATAGTTGAGGTTTCCAGTCAAGACTTCTTGACTACCATACTTTCTGACTTTGGGAAAAAAAATGTCTTGTAAATTACTTCAAGAAGCAGGAATCTATTTCCATTGATAATAACTTATGCCCTAATTTTTTGAGAATTCAGATACTCGTCCTTTAAACCATTACAGTCGCGGTAAATAAAAACTGGCATGGCATGTTTACATTTAGCAAGAAGCAAGAACAAGTATTCAAAGTGTAAATATAGGACAAAAAGTAAAGTGCTATTTGCCCTTTGTAACATCTGCATTCTCCTATGTATCAATGGTTTTATCTTGTTTGTATTGTATTGTGATTTTATTTGGCATATTTATCATCATATTTGTATGATGATTTTAATGTTTTGATGATGTAAGCCAGCCAGAGTCGCTTTGAAACGAGATGGGTGGAAATAAATTTTGTAATAAATACAATAAAATATAGACATTGTTGTATTGAAAAAGGTTTTATTTGAGAACCCTTGTTCTCAAAGAAGACCTTTGCAACATAGCAATGTATATATTGTGTCATAGTGGCAGAAGGATAATTGTCAGTGTCTCCTTGCTGTTTCAGAGCAGATATATTTGCTAAAAATCCCAAGATTTCTCCATATATTTTTTTTGCAGTGGTTTTAGAAACACTGCTCAGAGCTGATTCATCACCTGATAAATATTTTCAATCTGGATTCCAAGTCAAGTTGGACTAGCTAGATATATATCTTGCTATGCTTAGCTGAATTTGTGGATTTCAGTTTTAGATTTCATTTTTAAACGGCTGTGGTTACCTAAACTCTGTACATTATGACTTCAAGAGCATCTTTAAATATGCCATTAAATTAACTAATCAAAACAGTTTCACTTCCTAAACATTTCTTAAAATCTAAGAAACACATTTTCAGTAATGGAAAGAAACAGTAGCAACCTCACGCATGAATTAAAAATACTTAATCCTAATTTTATAAGGTGCGTGGGTTTGGGACTTATTTGCTGGGATTTAGATTTTTTT